GTTAAAAAAAACAGTGCAATTTTGGCACAGGAATAAATGAACAAATCAACAGAACGGATGTAGCAAGTTCTGAAGCATATTCATGTGTATGAGAATTTAGTATATAATAAAAATAACATTTCAAATAAATGGGAGAAAGATGAATTATTCAATGGATTTACTGGGGAAATGGTTAATCATTTGGGAAAAAAATTTAGATCCACAGCTCACATTATAAGTACAATTCCAAATGGATTAATTTAAATATATACTTTTAACTATAAAAGTACTATAAGAAAACATCAGAGGATATTTTTATAATCTTAGATGGGGAAAGGCTTCCAACATTTTTATGCATTTGTATGTTTTTATCTCTCTATAAAGATGTAAGTATATGCAGATTTTCGATAAAAATAGAATTATACTGTACATTAAAAATGCTCATTGTAAAAGAAACTTTAAAAAGACAGAAGAATGTAAACTGAAAGCCCCTCTTTATCCCTTCCATATGTAGACTCAGCTTTCGGATTTTCTCTCCTCTCGCTTTCTGTCATAAAATGGATACTTACTATACGTATTGTTCTGCCACTTGCTTTTTCCTTTAATATATATTGTGGACATTTTTCCACATCAGCATGTCATTATGTTTCATTTTTCTTTACGAACTACTGAACAGTATTCCATGGTACGTTTGTACTATGATTTATTTAATCATTTCCTACTGATGTACATTTACATCTTGAGCATATCTGTTGGCTGGAGACCTATGATTGCTACACATAACATCATGAATATTTCTATTGGTTAAAGACCAGTAAGAAGGATTACTGGGCTCAGAAATTCATAATTCAAAATTTGATAGATAACTAAAAATTCCAGGACTCATCTATCTTTCCAGCGCAAAAACAGCTATCATGCAACGTAGGGCTCTTGACTAGAAGCTAGCCAACCTACACTCGAGTCCCGAAAATCGAGTTCCACCCTGGTCCCATTCCAAACCTCTCCAGCCGCCGACCAGGCTACAGGCCAAACACTGGAACACAAGCCAGCGCTATAAGCACCTCTCAGCCCGTACCACGACACCACACACAAACCCACAGTTTGTCAACTTCCGGTGATAAATTAAAAGACACAGGGGACTCCGTTAGTCCACATTACTGCCCAAATTACACTGGTATCGGAGAACCCGATCGAGAAGCTTCGTTCTGCTCCCTCGAACTCCACTCCCCCAGGGAGGCCGCAGGCACTGGCGCGGTAGGAGGGAAAGGAAGTGCGGAGCTCGGGGTGGGGACGGGGGGTGCTTCTCACCTCAGTTCGGACTCCCGCTGCAAGTGAGGTTTGGATCCGAGTGACAGGACCCGAGAGACTGGACCAAGGGGCGGGTCCTGCCTAGAAAGGACCCCCTCACCCTCCCCGCGGGCTCCGTGGGCCTCGCAGGCTGCCCGCCCGCTGCCTGACTGGAAAACTCGGAACTCCGTCTTCTTCTCGCTGAGCGTCCTTCCTTCTCGCGAAGAAAGCCGCCTTTCCGCCCCTTTAGCCGGAAGCGAAGGGCAAGGTGAAAAGGCCGGTGGCAACTGGCCATCGGGGGTTTTAGCCAGGCAGTACGCCGGGCGCCTGACCAGGGCCAGGCTGCGGGAAGAAAAGACCTCTGCTTGGCTGCCGCCAGTTGGAGTGCTTTCCACTTTCGTCCTCTCATGCTCAAGATGGTGGCCTCCCGGGTAATTGGCAGCCTGGGCCGCTTCACCGCCTCCAGAACGCTCCGTTGCCCGGGTGAGTCCTGGTGCAGGGAGCCCTACATACCCGGGCAGAACTCCTTCGGAAACCAGGGCAGCCCTGGAGCTGCATTTCCCTATCGCTGCCTTCTCACTGCCCTGGGCCAGGGACCCAGCCCTGGATGAGAGGGAGGGATGCTGCCCAGGGAGTTGATCTCTCGTGCCGGGGTGCCGGGACTGACACTTCCTCTCTCACGACTCCGAGTCCTGCAGCGAGTTCAGGCTCCGTAGCCCCTAACGTTTCTGAGTCCTGTCCGCGTGATTTGGCACTTCTCGCAGGTGTCCTCTTATTTTTTTTAATGATGGCCTTGAACCTGACCCTACTAGTTTGGGAGGCCCAGGAGGACTACGACAGTCCAATCTATCACATCTTTGTGGCTCCATAGCACCTTGCCTGTAACAAGAGATGTCTTAAAAGCTGCTCGTATGAAATTGACCGGCCTTGCACATTATTGCCATTCCTTGCTCCTTTCCCTCAGAACCATTTTTGTGCGTATTACCACATTTCAATAGGGAGCTCAACTCTTGCAGTTTCCATTAATCTCATTGTGAACATATAGTATGTTGAGTTTCAAGAAGAGGTTCTGCAACTTGCTAGAACATTTACATAAATACCTGTTTCTTAAGGAATAAAATGTTAGATAATTTTAACAACTATTTCTAACCTTGTTTCTCACAATAGGCAGTTACTTTGCATTAGCCGTAATATCTTTTTCTCTTCAAACTGGCAGTGAAAGTTAAAGTTGGTGATTGTGGAAAATCGAGCATTTTTCTTCCATCTCAAATCTGTAAGGTGAAATGTGACTTTCTATTGCATGTTGTACTTAATACTGGATACTTAATTATAAATTTCATTTGTAGTATGCCTTTCTCCTTTTGAACCGCTGGGGTGATACTGTGTGTTGTTTTTAGACTGGAGGCTGGAATCTCCTTTTACTGTAAGGGACTAATTTGGGGTGATTGAATCTTTTCTGCTTTCTTGTTTCGACCAATGTTTTTGGTCTCTAAAGGACTGCTGTGTGTGTGTGTGTGTGTGTGTGTGTGTGTGTGTGTGTGTGTGTGTGTGTGTGTGTGTGTGTGTGTGTGTGTGTGTGTGTAACACACTATAACTAACTAACGTAACGTAAGTAAAGTAAAGTAAGTAAGTAGGTAACGGTAAGGGTAAAGGGTAAAGGGGTAAAA